ATCACTTAAGCCCAGGAGGCAGAGGTTGCAGTGAGCCAAGATTACACCATTGCTCTCCAGCCTGGGTGACAGAGTGAGACTCCACCTCAAAAAAAAACAAAAAACAAAAAACAAAAAACATGAGGAGTATTTTAAAGTGGTTTGACTCTCAGCTGGGCATGGTGACTCACGCCTGTAATCCCAGCATTGTGGGAGGCCAAGGCAGGTGGATCATCTGAGGTCAGGAAAGACGACTTGACCAACATGGTGAAACCCCATCTCTACTAAAAATATAGAAATTAGCTGGATGTGGTGGTTGGTGCCTGTGCCTGAAATCCCAGCTACTCAGGAGGCTGAAGCATGAGAATTGCTTGAATCCTGGGAGGTGGAGGTTGCAATGAGCCAAGATCATATCACTGCACTCCAGCCTGGGCGACAGAGCAAGACTCCGTCTCAAAAAAAATAAATAAATAAATCGTTGGGCCCTCAAAGACAAGAGGACACTTTCTAAGTCTGAGGAGCCAGCCAAGCTCAGGCAGTGGATTAATCTCCAGAAAGACAAAAATGAGCCTCTCAGCCTGTGGGGGTGAGCGTCCCTTCTGTCTGGAGACAGGCACTCAAGGCCGGAGTCTCTACGCGTTCAAAAATAAGATTCCTGAGTGTCTGCATTCATTGCCTCGTGCCTGCCAAGGGAAAATATTTCCAAAATTAGCTTCGAGGTTGCTATTACAGAGCAAACATGTCTGTTCTGTTAATTTACCGTGTGCGTTTCGTGCGCTCAGGGCTGATGGCTGCGGACCTGACGAGTGACAGTCCATCTTGAGCGCTTAGCAGCATTTTAAAGACTGAAGAGATTTTTCCTCGTCGCTCACAGCGTAATTCCACAGGGCCTGAAGCTGGCACTAGTAGAAACATCTAGTTGTGACCTTCAGAAGAGTGTTTTTGTCTCCTTTTACGGTTTTTTAAAGAGCAGGGTCTCACCCTGTGACCCAGGCTGGAGTGCAGGGGCGCGATCCTAGCTCACTGAGGTCTCCAACTCCTGGGCAGCTGGGACTGCAGGTAGTGCCTCCATGACTGGCTAATTTTTATATAATTTAATTTATTTATTTGTTTATTTATTTATTTTTGAGATGGAGTCTTGCTCTGTCACCAGGCTGAAGTGCAGTGGCTCGATCTCGGCTCACCCAACCTGCGCCTCCTGGGTTCAAGCAATTCTCCTGCTTCAGACTCCCGAGGAGCTGGGATTAGAGGCACACACCACCACACCCAGCTAATTTTGGTATTTTTAGTAGAGATGGGGTTTCACCATGTTGGCCAGGCTGGTCTCAAGCTCCTGACCTCGTGATCCTCCCGCCTCGGCTTCTCAAAGTGCTAGGATTACAGGCATGAGCCACTGTGCCTGGCCAATTTTTTTTATTTTTTGTAGAGATGATGTCTCAACATGTTGCCCAGGCTGGTCTTGAACTCCTGATCTCAAGCGATCCTCCCACCTTGACCTCCCAAAGAACTGGGATTATAGGCAGCCACCATGCCTGGTTGAGTATTTTCCTTTCTATAAAAGGATTATTTCCTCTGTACTGACTTGGTCACTTGAGAAAGCCGTAAGGATATGTTTTGGTTTGAGAGCAATGGCGGCTATGTCCCATCCACCACAGCAGTGAGGTCAAGCTCACGGTGCTAAGATGCTGATGGCAGTGGCCCATCTAGAGTGGCTTCTGCCAGGATGCTGGCGGCAGCAGGGAGGCGTGGCTGGGCCTCCCACTCCACGGGGCAGGCGGGAGCTCAGCCCTCCCTGGGTGCCACTGCAGCTTCCCTGGCACAGCTCCAGACGCGGACGCATCTGTGCCCCTGGGGGCCTGGGAAGCCCCCTGCCCTTCGTGGGGTTGGAAGTGCCTGCCACCTCGCTCCTCCTCGCTCCCCGCACCCGCTTCTGTCACAGAGCAAGGTTGGGGCCAAGCCCAGGTGCTGTTGCAGACTGCTATGTGGGTGCACACTTGGGGCAGCCCTGACACGCCAGCCCCCTGGCCTCAGCCCCCTCTGGACTTTGGGCATTGTTGAACATGGGAAGGAAGGCGAGGGGGCTGAGGGTGTCTGTGGGCAGCCCTTGGCATGAACAAGGCTGGGTGCCGTGAATGGCAGGGGGAGGCAGACGGGTTCCTAGGCAGAAAGGGGGCAGGTTCTCAGGGAAGCCACCCCTTGGAGGGGGCCTGGGGCCCGGGCTGCCAGTCCTGTGACTGTAAGGGGAACTCATGGTGCTTTTCCTGTCAGAGTGGGGAAGGAGTCCAGGCTGCCTGTGGACCAATCAGCATGCACTTCACACCCGAAGACCATAAAAACCCCAGACTCAGCTGGGGCAGCTCAGACGTCCGGACGCTGCAGAGAGCTACCCTCTCTGCCGAGAGCTGAGCACTGGCCGGGATGCCCTGCCTGTGGAGAGCAGCGACCCAGCACGGACCTCCTCCGAGCTGTTCTCACATTCAGTAAAGCTCCTCTTCGTTGAGCTCAGCCTCCACTTGTCTGCAGACCTCATTCTTCCTGGACGAGGGACAAGAATTCAGCAGCCACAGGTTTCCAGCCAGAAAAGCAATATCCCAAAGGTCCCGTAACAGTGCCATATCAGTGCCTGTGCCCAGGAGAGAAAAGGCAGAGACGGGAAGCTCGCTCAGTATGCCCACTGGGCCTGGCAGCAGACATGTGGCCAACCCAGGAGAGCCTCATACTGTGAGGGTCAGAGGCCTGTTTGGGGGTCTGTCTGAGCCTCATCGACGGGGCAGGTGGCATCTGCAGAGCGGGCGCTTCGGGCATTCTTTTTTTTTTTTTTTTTTGAGATGGAGTTTTGCTCTTGTCACCCAGGCTGGAGTGCAATGGCACGATCTCGGCTCACCGCAACCTCCGCCTCCTGGGTTCAGGCAATTCTCCTGCCTCAGCCTCCTGAGTAGCTGGGATTTCAGGCACGCGCCACCATGCCCAGCTAATTTTTTTGTATTTTTAGTAGAGACGGGGTTTTACCATGTTGACCAGGAAGGTCTCGAACTCTTGACCCCGTGATCCACCCGCCTCGGCCTCCCAAAGTGCTGGGATTACAGGCTTGAGCCACCGTGCCCGGCATCCCTTCAGAATTCTAACGCCCCGCCCGTTCAGCCACACGCGTCATCACACTCAGGGTCTGACCACACCCGAGGGTGATGCCAGGGCTTGTCTCTTCCAGGTTTAGTGCTCTGAGGGATGCTCTCAAGTAGATCCTATAAATGAGGTAAATCAAGCAAATCCTCAAAGGCTTGCCATGTCTCGTTCCTAAGCAGTTTGGGTTCCTGGGATTATCCGTGCCATCGTACCTATTTCTAGGAAGGCAGTGTTCCTACCTGGCATTCTCCAGCCCCTCAACCAAAACCCTCTCGTTCCACGTTCTCGGTGACAGACCCGGCGCTTGTCCAGAAGTGCTAGAAGGGAACACAGGAGCTTTTTCTCAAAGAAGCGGAGCATTGGTGTCTGGGGGGATGGGGAAAGATATTTATTTACCGCGGCCAGGTGCCACGGCTCATGCCTGTAATCCCAGCACTTTGGGAGGCCGAAGTGGGCGGATTGCTTCAGCCCAGGAGGCTGGCCAGCCTGGGCAACACAGCAGGGCTCTGTCAATTAGCCAGGTGTGCCAGCGTGACTGTGAGCCCGGGGGGCGAGGGGGCTGTGGTGAGCTGTGGTCTCACTACTGCACTTCAAGAGAGACCCCATCTCAAAAAGTTTTTTTTTAATTGTAGTTTTTTGTGTGGTTTTGTGTGTGTGTGTGTTTTTTTTTTTTTTTTTTTTTTTTGAGGCAGCGTCTCACTCTGCAGTCCAGGCTGGAGTGCTGTGGAGCGATCTCAGCTCACTGCAACCTCCACCTCCCAGGTTCAAGCGATTCATCTGCCTCAGCCTCTCACGTAGCTGGAATTATAGGTGCCAGCCAACATGCCTGGCTAATTTTTGAATTTTTAGTAGAGATGGGGTTTCACCATGTTAACCAGGCTGGTCTCAAACTTCTGACCTCAAGTGATCCACCTGCCTCAGCCTCCCAAAGTGCTGAGATTACAGGCGTGAGCCACTGTGCCCAGCCTTTATTATAGTTTTTTATTTTAGAAGAAATGTTCCTGGTATGATGGCTCATGCCTGCACTGCGGGCACTGGGAGGCTGAGCTGGGCAGATCATGTAAACTCAGGAGTTCGAGACCAGCCTGGGCAACATAGCAAAACCCTGTCTCTACAAAAAAATACAAAAATTATCTGGCCACAGTGGCACAAGCCTGTAGTCACAGCTCCTTAGGAGGCTGAGGTGGAAGGATCCCTTGAGCTGGGCTGTGGAGGCTGCAGTGAGCCTGGGTCACGCCACCACACTCCAGTCTGGACAGCAGAGAGAAACCCTGTCTCGGAAAAATAAAAGAAGAAGAAAGGCATTCTCTCTTTTTTTTTTTTTTACCTTGTTGACAGAAGGTTCCAGCCAGCCCATAATCTGCGCCATGGGGGTCCCTGGACGGCCATGCAGGCCCCTCCCTGAGCCTGCACCTAGCGGCTGGTGCACTCACACAGCGAGAGCGGGCGTCCTGTGCGGTGCCATGCCTCTGCTCACTGCCCTGTCCCGGTGTGGCATCGCGGTCTCGGCGTTCCCAGACCTGCCGCCCTCGCCTGGTTCCCTCGGAAGCAGAGCTGAGTTGGAGCTCTGGGGCCTGCAGGCTCAGGAGGACGTGGGCAGCAGCGACCAGCCCAGACCAGGGCAGCAAACCCACAGGCCTCCAGGTCACGTGTGGGCTCTGCAGTGCCCTTCGGGGCGCCCAAGCACCAGGGCGATGGAGCCTGACCCCCACAGAGGCCGAGGCGGCTGAGGACAGCAGAGGCCGGGGGGCTTCCCTGCAGGTGGGCACCTGCCTTGTAAACCTGGAAGTCGCGCTGATGAGAAACGCGTTTCTCCCCTGAAGTGAGCGTGTCCTGACTTCCAGCGCCCGTTGTTTAGCGGCAGCCTCAGGCTGACACCGTCTCTCACCCTTCCACAGGCATTGACTACAAGTCGACCACCATCCTGCTGGACGGGCGGCGGGTGAAACTGCAGCTCTGGTGAGTCTGGAGGAGGCGCGAGCGTCCCACACTCCCAGGAGTAACCCCCCTGGTTGGCACAGCACCCCAGGGAGCAACCTCCCCCTACCACCATTGTCACAGCATCCCAGGGAGCACCCCCAGCTGGCACAGCACCCCAGGGGCACCTCCAGCCGGCACAGCACCCCGGGGGGCACCCCCAGCTGACACAGCACCCCGGGGGCACCCTCAGCCAGCAAAGCACCCCAGGGACACCCCCAGCTGGCATAGCACCCCAGGGGGCACCCCCAGCCAGGACAGCACCCCAGGGATCACCCCCAGCTGGCACAGCACCCCAGGGGTGTGCCCAGCCAGCACAGCACCCCAGGGGGCACCCCCAGCCACCATACCACTCCAGGGGGCACCCCCAGCCGGCATAGCACTCCGGGGGCATCCCCAGCCAGCAAAGCACCCCATGGATACCCCCAGCTGGCATAGCGCCCCGGGGGGCACCCCCCATCAGCACAGCACCCTAGGGAAAAACCTCCCCCTACCACCATTGTCACAGTGTCCCAGGGAGCACCCCCAGCCAGCACAGCACCCCAGGGGTACCTCCAGCCAGCACAGCACTCCAGGGGCACCCCCAGCCAGCAAAGCACCCCAGGGGGCATCCCCAGCCGGCATAGCACCCCAGGGAGCAACCTCCCCCTACCACCGTTGTCAGTGTCCCAGGGAGCACCCCCAGCTGGCATAGCACCCCAGGGGGCACCTCCAGCAGGCACAGCATCCCATGGAGCACCCCTAGCCAGGATAGCATCCTGGGGGGCACCCCCGGCCGGCAGAGCACTCCAGGAGCCACAGCCCCAGCCCCACTGAAGCAGGACTTCTCTGAAGGAGGCGGTGGTCTGGTTGTCTGGGTCCCCATCATCCAGAGTAGGGGACCCCATGATGGACATAGCGCTGTGGCTGGGAAAGGGCTTTTGGGGTCAGAACCTGTGGCCTGGTGTTTGTGGGAAGGTGCCAGGCAGGGACCAGTGCAGTGTGGTTGAGGCAGCCAGCACTCCTGGGTCCCCCACGCCTCACCCAGCAATGCTACTGCACGCCCAGTAGGAAGCCGGAGCGTCCTGGTGCCAGGGGGGCTGTGATCCAGCCAGCAGGTGAGCCAGACGTGCGGAGGTGAGGACTTGCCGGCCAGCCAGGACCGTTGGCTCTGCTGTCTCAGATGTTTGAACCCCGCTCCCTCCTGGGGCAAGCCCAGGCCTCTCCCTCCACACTCCCGGCTCTGGACGGGGCTCCTGCGGTTTCTGCTCCGTGGGGCAGTGGGGATGAGGGGGCTTCTGTGGTACTTCCTCCTGGGGCTCCCTCCCGGGCATCCCTTCCCCACCACTGCCAGCCTGTGTGACCCTCGCCAGGGCCTCCTGGGCCTCTCCCAAGCCACATACACCTCCAGTTTCAGGACCTTCTCTGACCAGTACCCCCGCCCTGCCCCGTCCAGCGTGGCCAGTCCCAGGGAGCCTCTCTCCACAACGTACCCCAGCACCATGGCCCTTCTGGCTGCAGAGCTTTGGGCCCCCTGCCCGGCCTGGCTTCAAGCCCCCACTCCTCCAGGGCCATGCCCTCTCTGGGCGGCCATTGGGGTCGCCATCAGCCCCCGTCCCATGCCACCCTCCGCCAGCTGGGCATCTGCTGTCCCCTCCCGGCCCTGAGGCCTGCAGGCCCGGAGCTTTGTTCTCAGGGCTCCTCTCCCTCCGCAAGACCACACGTTCCTGCAGACCCCCGGCCATCAGAAGGACCCACTCAGCCCCACGCCTGTCCCAAGCTCAGTGTTCTGCTGAGGATCTGCCTGGCATCAGGGCTGGCTTGCAGCCTCCCTAGCTCCACCCCGGCCCCGGCTGTCCACATTACCAAACGCCTCCCTGAACCCCACTGATCAGCAGAGTCACCTCAGCATGTTTCTCTGTCACCTCCGGGGTGAGATGCCAGGGGGCTCCTGCCAGTGAACAATCACCCCAGGCCCAGAAGGACCCTAACTGCTCACACTTGGCACAGTGTCAGCTCCGTCCACACTGTCCTTTGACACTCAGACTGCACCTTCCAGCTCCGTCCACACTGACCTGAGACACTCACACTGCACCTTCCAGCTCCATCCACACTGTCCCCTGAGACACTCACACTCCACCTTCCAGCTCCGTCCACACTGTCCCCTGAGATACTCACACTGCACCTTCCAGCTCCGTCCACACTGTTCCCTGAAACACTCACACTGCACCTTCCAGCTCCGTCCACACTGACCCCTGAGACACTCACACTGCACCTTCCAGCTCCGTCCACACTGACCCGAGACACTCACACTGCACCTTTCAGCTCCGTCAACACTGTCCCCTGAGACACTCACACTGCACCTTCCAGCTCCGTCCATGCTGACCCCTGAGACACTCACACTGCACCTTCTAGCTCCGTCCACACTGACCCGAGACACTCACACTGCACCTTCGAGCTCCGTCCACACTGACCCCTGAGACACTCACACTGCACCTTCCAGCTCTGTCCACACTGTCCCCTGAGACACTCACACTGCACCTTCCAGCTCTGTCCACACTGTCCCCTGAGATACTCACACTGCACCTTCCAGCCCCGTCCACACTGTCCCCTGAAACACTCACACTCCACCTTTCAGCTCCGTCCACACTGACCCCTGAGACACTCACACTGCACCTTCCAGCTCCGTCCACACTGTCCTCTGAGCACGGTCTCATCTGCACATGGACTCCAGATGGGATCCTTCCTGATGCCCACAGCTGTGTCTCCTGCCTGGCCGCACCTCCCCTCGCCTCCCAGCACCGCGCCCCTGGCTGGAGGTGGTGCTCTCCTCCTTCAGGGCTGTCCCAGGTGAGAGGGAGAGCTCCCACTGCACGCCAGGCTGTGCCGCACTCTGACTGCATGTGCTGGCCCTTTGGCCTCCCTGAGAAGCTGGCGGGTCACCTGGCCTGCTGTGGCCTCCACCTTGAGCTTTTGGGCAGCTCCCACTGCGTGTGAAGCCTGAGCACCTGAGGTCCTGCTGGGGCTTGAATTCTGCATCAATCTGTTTCTCAGGAACAGAGGCGCCCACTTCCAGGCTTCAGCAGTGGCCAATGTCTCTGGGCCCCCTGGAGCCCCAGGCCCTTCTCTCTGGTGCCGAGGGTGGCACTGCCCACGGGTGCTTGTAACAAAAACAGCAGCACCATGCCGCGGCCACGGTGCATCTGTGAGGCCGTGTCTCGAGTGTGTGTGGGTGTGTTGGCTGCACCTGCAGACTCCAGGAAACAGAGTGGGCTGCCCCTGAGGCCGCCGCCTCCGGAGACTGACCCGTCGGAGTGCGCTTTCCGTGCTCATTTCTTTCCCTTTTTTGAGCCGCAGTCGGCTCTGTCCCCCAGGCTGGAGTGCAGTGGCACGATCTCAGCTTACTATGACTTCCACCTCCTGGGTTCAAGCAATTTTCCCGCCTCAGTCTCCTGAGTAGCTGAGACTACAGGAGCATGGCACCACGCATGGCTGATTTTTCTATTTTTAGTAGACACAGGGTCTTACTATGTTGGCCAGGCTGGTCTCCACCTCCTGACCTTGGGTGATCCGTCCGCCTCAGCCTCCCAAAGCTCTGGGATTAGGGGGTGATCCGCCTGCCTCAGCCTCCCAAAGCTCTGGGATTATGGGGGTGATCCACCCACCTCAGCCTCCCAAAGCGCTGGGATTATGGGGGTGAACCACTGCACCCAGTCTTTCATTTGTTTCTTGGAGCTCCCTTCTGGTCTCTCTGGGTCCCGGTGCCTGCTGTGCGTGCCATCACCTAAGAACTAAGCCCTGCCCTCAGTCCATGCCAGTCAGTTCCCTGTATTCCTTCCTACGCTTTAGGGCGCATCTGAAGGGCTGACTCGTGTGAGCTGTTACAGTCTAACCAGAAGAACAGGGATCCCACTGGCCTCTCTCCCGTGGTGTAGACCCACGCTCATTTCTACATAGCTTTATCCCCAAATCCAACCAATTTTTAAAACTCTATATTAAATGTATTTAAATGTCTGAGAATTCTGTTAAAACCATCACTGTTTTTTCTAGTCTGACTTTTTAAGTGACAGAGAAGAGCATGAGCCTGGAAGGACATCCCGACACCTGGATCACGTCGGGGATGTGGGACAGTTTTGTTACCCGGACCACGTCAGGGGCGTGGGACAGTTTTGTTACCCAGAACATGTTGGGAGCGTGGCACGCTGGATCACAATGGGGGCATGGGACAGTTTTGTTACCTGGACTATGTCGGGGGCATGGCACAGTTTTGTTACCAGGACCACAGTCGAGGGCGTGGCACAGTTTTGTTACCTGGACCACATGAGGGACATGGGACAGTATTGTTACCCGGATCACACTGGGGACATGGGACAGTTTTGTTACCTGGACCACATCGGGGGCGTGGCACATTTTGTTACCTGGACCACGTCGAAGGTGTGGCACAGTTTTGTTACCTGGACCACGTGAGGGACATGGGACAGTTTTGTTACCCGGATCACATTGGGGACATGGGACAGTTTTGTTACCTGGACCACATCGGGGGCGTGGCACAGTTTTGTTACCTGGACCACGTCGAGGGCGTGGCACAGTTTTGTTACCTGGACCACGTGAGGGACATGGGACAGTTTTGTTACCCGGATCACACTGGGGACATGGGACAGTTTTGTTACCTGGGCCACATCGGGGGCGTGGCACAGTTTTGTTACCTGGACCACTTCAGGGGCAGGCCACAGTTTTGTTACCTGGACCACATCGGGGCGTGGCACAGTTTTGTTTCCTGGACCATGTGAGGGACATGGGACAGTTTTGTTACCCGGATCACATTGAGGACATGGGACAGTTTTGTTGGGGGTCTGCACAGCAGCGCAGTGGCCACTGACCAGCGGCTGTGTGGTGCATTTCCCGTGGCTCTGAAGCTCGAGAACCAGTTGTCAGGAAGAAGCACTGATTTCTTCTTAATGATCTCCAACATCTTTTCCAGGGATACTTCGGGGCAGGGAAGATTCTGCACCATATTCCGCTCCTACTCTCGGGGTGCACAGGTAACACAGCATCCCCTGAGCTGGGAGATCAAACTGACTTTGAATAGCATTTACAATGCTTAACTAACCATCCTTTAATGGGTAATTGGAGGATAAAGCAGTTAAGCTTATGTATAAATTGGTGCCAAGAGTCTAAAAATATGGGCCGGGCGCGGTGGCTCACACCTGTAATCCCAGCACTTTGGGAGGCCGAGGCAGGCGGATCACGAGGTCAGGAGATCAAGACCATCCTGGCCAACATGGTGAAACCCCGTCTCTACTAAAAATACAAAACAATTAGCTGGACGTGGTGGTGCACACCTGTAGTCCCAGCTACTCAGGAGGCTGAGGCAGGAGAATTGCTTGAACCCAGGAGGCAGAGATTGCAGTGAGCCAAGATCGCATCACTGCACTCCTGCCTGAGCAACAGTGGGAGACTCTGTCTCAAAACAAACAGGTGCTGTAGAGTGGGTGGTTGCTTGAAAGCCTTCATCAGCATTAGGGATGTAAGCCTGCATTTACAGTGTGTGTGCACGTACAATGTGTGTGCAGGTATGTGCATGTGTCTGTGCATGAATGCCTGTGTGTGTGTAATGTGTACGTGTGTGCTTCCCTGTATATGTGTGTGAACACATGAGCTGTATGTGTGTGCACTGTGCATGTGTGTGCACTGTGCATGTGTGTCTGTGCATGAGTGCCTGCGTGTATGTGTGTACACAATGTGTGTGCGGGTACTTGCACAGTATATGTGTGCATCTGTGCATGAGTGCCTGTGTGTGTAATGTGTATGTGTGTGCTTCCCTGTATATGTGCGTGAATCTGAACACATAAACTGTGTGTGTGTGCACTGTGCATGCGTGTGTGCATGAGTGCCTGCGTGTATGTGTGTACACAACGTGTGTGCAGGTACTTGCACCATGTATGTGCATCTGCATGAGTGCATATGTCTGTAATATATATGTGTGTGTGCTTTCCTGGATATGTGTGTGTCTGTGCATGAGTGCCTGCATGTATGTGTGTACACAATGTGTGTGCAGGTACTTGCACGGTGTATGTGTGCATCTGTGCATTAGTGCCTGTGTGTGTAATGTGTATGTGTGTGCTTCCCTGTATATGTGCCTGAATCTGAACACATAAACTGTGTGTGTGTGCACTGTGCATGCGTGTGTGCATGAGTGCCTGTGGGTATGTGTATGCAACTTGTATGCAGGTATGTGCACTGTGTGGACATGCCTCTGCATGAGTGCCTGTGTGTGTACATGTGTGTGTGCAGATACATGCACTGTGCATGTGTGCTTCTGTGCATGAGTGCCTGTGTGTGTGCATGTGTGCAGATACGTGCACTGTGCATGCATGCATCTGTGTGTGAATGCATACATGTGTGTATGTAACGTGTGCAAATACATGCACTGTGTGTGTATGTGCATCAGTGCCTTCATGTGTGCACTTGTGTGCAGATGTGTGCAGGAGTGCCTGTGTGTGTGTGCAGGTGTATGCACGTGGGCTATCCAGGTGGCTGGGGCCGCACTCCTTGAGAGGCGGTGATTACTGTGGTGCCCTTGCGTCCTGTGTTCCTGGAGTGGCCGGTGGGTGTGAGTTCTAGTCCGCAGCTCACCTTGACAGTTGAGGCTTTATCACTGGGCTCATGAGATATCGTTGGAAATGATCATAAAACTGCTACGTTCAGTTGATAAATCTTGTGTTAACGTAAGGAAAGTGGTTATTGAGCTAGTTGTGTATTTGCCTGAGTGGCCGCAGCTATTCCTGCATCTGTGTTCTGCGTGCTGAGCCTGTGGTCTTTCCCCCAGGGTGTGATCCTGGTCTATGACATTGCGAACCGCTGGTCTTTCGATGGGATCGATCGATGGATCAAGGAGATCGATGAGGTATGGCATAGCAACGCCACTGTCCACGGTCCCTGTGGGCTTGGGAGGATGTCAGGTGAGGAATCAGGGTCAGGCCCTGCAGGGCTCATGGTCCCCATGGAGCTTGGGCCACGGCACTGGATGGGGCTGCAGCAGCCAGGAGGGTGCCTCACCTCTGCACAGCCCTGCATTCTACCGGGCTCGTGAGTACAGCCACAGAGACTCACCGAGGCGCAGGAGGCTGGCCCAGATGAAACAAGCGCCCGTGACGTGGCTCCGCTGTGCGTGGGGTCAGGACCCCTGGGCGGCCTGCTTCCCTCCCTGCTGTGGTGAGGCTGGGCTGACAAGCAGTGACCAGGGCTTGTGCCTGGGGGCACGCAGACCAGCCCACCTGGCAATGGCGATGTGGTGTGGTCAGCACCAAGCCCACTGTGTGAGTGTCTCAGGGCTGCTATAACTAACGACCGCAGGCCAGCGTCCTAAACAGAAACGCGTTCTCCCGCCGATCTGGAGGCCAGAGCCCAAAACCAAAGTGTTGGCAGGACCGATTCCCCCAGCGGCCTCACCCGGCCCTTGGAGGTGCCAGCAACCCTGGGCCCCCCGTGGCCTGTGCCACTCTGCTCCAGTCTCTGCCTTTGCATCACATGGCCTCCTCCGTGTGTGTGTGCGTGTGTGCATGTGCGTGTGTGCGTCTGCGTGTGCATGTGCGCGTGTGTGCGTTCGAGCGTCTGTGTGTGCGTGTGTGCGTGTGTCTGCATCTGCGTGTGTGTGCACGTGTGTGCGTGTCTGCGTGCATGCGTGTGTGTGCACCTGTGTGTGTGCATGTGCGTGCATGTGTGTGCATGTGTGTGTGCCAGTCGTTAGATGAAGGCCTGCCCGAATTCAGCGTGGCTGCACCATGACTATTCACATCTTCAAAGACTCTTTCCACACAGGGTCCCATGCTGAGGTTCTGGGTGGAAGTGAACTTGTGGGGGTTCCTCAACCCAGGGCACCCACGTTGCAGGGACAGCAACGTCTTGCTCAGGTAGCCCTGGCCTTTCTCCTGCCCGCTAGCACGCTCCCGGAGTCCCCAGGATCCTGGTGGGGAATCGCCTGCACCTGGCGTTCAAGCGGCAGGTACCCACGGAGCAGGCCCGGGCCTACGCCGAGCGTCTGGGCGTGACCTTCTTTGAGGTCAGCCCTCTGTGCAATTTCAACATCACGGAGTCGTTCACGGAGCTGGCCAGGATCGTGCTGCTGCGGCATGGGATGGACCGGCTCTGGCGGCCGAGCAAGGGTAGGCCTGGGGAGATTCCGGGTGCGCCTGCCCTCCAGATGCCGGGGTGGTTCTGCGGCTCCCCGGGACCCGACTCGAGGCCACTGCATCCTGTCTGAGAGCTGGGCATTTGACAGGTCATGACTGCAGCTCTGTCAGAGAGCTTACGCAGGAACTGCTGGAATCTGTGCGTGGGCAGAGGCGACATCTAGGCAGGGTTTGCTGCATTTACAGGCCAGGGCCGTGGGTGTCCGAGTCCGAAGGCGGGAGGACAGGTGTGGGAACCGCCCTCGTTCCAGCCCCAGCAGGCACATGCACTAGGTGTGGTTTCCTTTTCTCTCCCAAGTGCTGAGCTTGCAAGACCTCTGCTGCCGGGCGGTCGTGTCCTGCACGCCGGTGCACCTGGTGGACAAGCTGCCGCTGCCCATCGCCTTACGAAGCCACCTCAAGTCCTTCTCCATGGCCAACGGCCTGAACGCCAGGATGATGCACGGACGGTCCTACTCCCTCACCACCAGCCCCACCCACAAAAGGAGCGGCCTCCACAAAGTGAAGCTCGTCCGTCCGCCGCAGAGCCCACCCAAACACTGCACCAGAAACAGCTGCAAAATTTCCTAAGGAAGGCTCGGTCTCTCCGGGAGAAACTCAGTGGCACCCAGGCAGCGGGCGGCTGCGTCGTGGATTCCGGTGCATCCTCTCCGTGAATGTCGCCGCTTGGGAGCGCGTGCGGGGCCTCCTGGGCGGTGGAGACACACGCCGCTGTCGGACTTGGGATTTCCACGTGGGTGTGCATGAAGCTTGTTTTTGATGTGTGTGTATAAAGGGAAGATTAGTACTCTGCTCGACTCTCGGTAACGTGAAATGTCGAATGTTACTTACACGATGATTGTGCTGCAACTTTTTCCTTAAAATAACTGCTTTTGTAAGAGCATAATATTCGAGTGGTTCAAATTTGAGAGGCAATGGTGGCGAGAATTGAGAGCCATCGATATTGCGAGAGGGGTCTTTTTGTAAAAGTCCTTTTTAACGTCAAAGCACCAATTTATAAAACGCTGCAGATGTAGGGGTCCCGTGCAGGCAGACTGTCCGGTCTGTGTGTCCGGATTTGATAACGTTTTTGCTAGTTATTTACTACATTTTGGGATTAATAAGTGATTTATATGCATATTTTTCTGTGAATCTACCTTTTTTTGTACGAGATGTTCTACAAGTTATGAAGCTAAGGGAAGAAAATGCCGAAGATACCTCTAGTTACGTTGAATGTTTTAGCCAACACCATTTCAGCAGGCCAAGGAAGAGCTGCTTCAGTAAGGAACGAAGTGAAAACACTTATTTAAGAAAATGTTTCTCCACAATAAAATGTATAGTTGTTTCTCTCTTGGTAGAGTTGGTGGCTGGGTCTTTTGAATTTTGTGTATTTATTTACTTACTTATTTTTGAGATGAGTTTTGCTCTTGTCACCCAGGCTGGAGTGTGATGGAGAAATCTCTGCTCACCGCAACCTCCGCCTCACGGGTTCAAGGGATTCTCCTGCCTCAGCCTCCCAGTAGCTGGGACCACAAGTGCCAGCTTTTTGTATTTTTAGTACAGATGGGATTTCACCACGTTGGCCAGGCTGGTCTTGACCTCCTGGCCTCGTGATCCACCCACCTTGGCCTCCCAAAGTGCTCGGATTACAGGTGTGAGCCATTGCACCCTGCTGAATTTTGTATGTTTATTATAGGCCTTTACTTCACGGCACCACTGCCTGGTGTGGACATCGCAGCCAGTAACACGTGACTTTTGGAACAAGGCTGAATCCTCGAACTGTGGCGCCTGCTGAGAAAGGATTCTGGGCCCAGCGCGGTGGCTCACGCCTGTAACCCCAGCACCCTGGGAGGATGAGGCAGGCGGATCATGAGGTGAAGAGATCAAGACCATCCTGGACAACATGGGAAACCCCGTCTCTACTAAAAATACAAAAATTAGCTGGGCGTGGTGGCACACGCCTGTAGTCCCAGCTACTCAGGAGGCTGAGGCAGGAGAATCGCTTGAACCCGGGAGGCGGAGGCTGCAGTGAGCAGAGATCAAATCACTGCACTCCAGCCTGGCTACAGAGCAAGACTCTGCCTCAAAAAAAAGAAAATACAAAAATTAGCTGGGCGTGGCAGCGTGTGCCTGTAATCTGAGCTACCTGGGAGGCTGAGGCAGGAGAATCAGTTGAACCTGGAAGGCGGAGGTTGTGGTGAGCTGAGATTGTGCCATTGCACTCCTGCCTGGCAAACAAGAGCGAAACTCCATCTCAAAAATTAAAAAAAATAAAATAAAAATAAATTTAAAGAACCCTGGAAAGAATCAGGGACAATGCCTGTATTCAGAGATGGTAGAACCGAGGCCCAGACAGGAGACAGGAGCACTGGTCCCTGCAAGTGGGGCCAGGCTTGGGGGTGTCTGGCGGCCACAGGGACAAAGGCCATGGGGAGGCAGGGACGTGGTCTGCGGAGGGAAGTGAACCCTGAGGTGACAGTGCCTCAGGGAGCGTGGCAGCCTTGTGCAGACACACTGCCAGGACCCTTGCATCCATCTCACCACGGGTGGAGGTGAGGACGTCAGGGCTGACCCCCCAGCTGCAAGGAAGGCAGAGTCCACGTAGAGAAAGCCCAGCCGGGGCCTCTTCTCCCTCTGCTCCCAGCTCAGGGGCGGTGGATGGTCAGGAAATGGATCCCCTGGTCACATTAAACCTGGCCAAACATGTATTTTTCTCTTCCCTTCCCTTTCTTGTTTTTTAATTGACAGGCTCCTTAGGACTACCAATAATGTACTAGAAGGAATAAAACAAAGTTTCCCGGTGGGCAAGGTAGCTCATGCCTGTAATCTCAGCACTTTGGGAGGCCAAGGTGGGCAGATCACCTGAGGTTGGGAGTTCAAGACCGGCCTGGCCAAGATGGAGAAACCCCATCTCTACTAAAAACACAAAATTAGCCGGGCGTGGTGGCAGGCGCCTGTAATCCCAGCTGCTTGGGAGGCTGAGGCAGGAAAATCGCTTGAACCCAGGAGGTGGAGGTTTGTGGTGAGCCGAGATTGTGCATTGCATTCCAGCCTGGGCAACAAGAGCAAAATTCTGTCTCAAAAAAATAAAATAAATAAAATAATAAAGTTTCCCAAGGCTTTGTGACCCAGAGCCCTGTGGAGGTGTTCACGGAATACACAGGCCGCCCGGATCCCCCGGCCCTCCAGGAAAACGGCACCAGAAGTCCACAGAGGCGGGACGGCAGGAAGAAGCCTCCTGAGATGCCCCCAGGGACATGGCCCGGCCAGTGTATCGGTTCTGGACTTCCGGCTTCCCGAATAACAGAACATAAATATTTGTTATTTTAAGCCACCAAGATTGTGGCGATCTGTTACGGTAGGCTCAGGAAACTCCTCCAACGAGGAGGTGAGTCATGCTCACGGCAGAAAGCTCTACAGCAAACCAAGGTGGGACAAACACATACGAAGCCTAGCGCAGACTGTATGAAGCGGGAGACTGTGTTTGGGTAGTGAATACCCAGAAAACGTGAACGTAAATGAAACCTCAGAGAAACTTTGTCCCTTTCTCCGTCACATATAAACATGGGCACCGGGCTGTGTCCCAGATGTCTGCGATCCTCCTTCCAAACATTGAGACTCGGCATGTGTTCGGCACCATGATGTCTTCAGTTGCCCTGTGAAAATCACTGCAGTAAAGAATAATTTCTGCCGGGCGCAGGTGGCTCAAGCCTGTAATCCCAGCACTTGGGAGGCCGAGGCGGGTGGATCACGAGGTCGAGAGATCGAGACCATCCTGGTCAACATGGTGAAACCCCGTCTCTACTAAAAGTGCAAAAAATTAGCTGGGCATGGTGGCACGTGCCTGTAATCCCAGCTACTCAGGAGGAGGCTGAGGCAGGAGAATTGCCTGAACCCAGGAGGCGGAGGTTGCGGTGAGCCGAGATCGCGCCATTGCACTCCAGCCTGGGTAACAAGAGCGAAACTCCGTCTCAAAAAAAAAAAAAAAAGAATAATTTCTTAGAGAGCTTGCAATTTCGATGAGGAATTATTTAGGCAAAATAATGAAGCTAGAAAAAATGCCTATTACAGGCTTGATAACATTTGTTTTCACAGAGACAGAGATGCCGGGTCTGCCCTTTGCAGGAGAACAGCTTCGTCAGATGTGGATTTCAGAAGCAAAATGGAAGCTGCTTGTCTTAGGGGAAATGAACAAGGTGTTTTACCTGGGGACAGTGGAGGACAGGTGTCCTTCACAGCTGACACCGGGTGGCTGCCTGGAAGGGCGGGGCGGTGAGTGGACCTGGGTGTGGAGGGAGCAGGAGATTCCGAGTCCGTGCATGCTGGCCGCCGTACCAAGCACCTGAGAGCGGGTGATGCACGGACAGCAGACGCGGATTTCGAACGGGTCTTTGGGCTGGAAGTCCAAGATAAAGGCACCAGCAGGTTTGTGTCTGGGGAGGCCCAGCCTCTGCTCCCAAGATGGCACCTGTTGCTGCATCCTCAGTGGCCGGAGGGGTCGTGGGAGGACCAAGCAAAGGGAGGCAGCTCCCTCACACCTCTCGTGAGGTCACGGAGCCCATTCTCGAGGGTCTGCCACCGCCCAAAGGCCCGACCGCCTCACGCTGTCACGTTGGCGACTAAGTTGCAACGCGTGAGTTACGGAGAGGCCGTTCAGACCACAGCAGCCCTGTGCTCCACTCTCCACTCCCGCCCATGTGTGCCGTGGGGACCTTCTCCCCGGCCCCACAGGGCCCCCACCTCTGCCAGGGGAGCCTTTCCTATCTCCTCAGCTGTTGAAGGGCACTGGATGAAACTGCGCAGTCTCTGCAGAGGACCGTGGCAGCTGTGGGCCTGTGGGCAGGGGGTGGACAGCAGTGAGGGCTGGGGCAGGGAGGCACCAATCGCTGGGCGCTGTCTGCGCCTCCCTGCCCTGGTGAAGGCCAGGCACTCCAGGGGCAGAGGCTGAGCCACCTCCCGTGCAAACCCTGCCCTCTGCCCCCACCTAGCTCAGCTGGGGACTGGGACTCTGGCTCCTGCATGGAACGTTCAGAGCTACGGCCTGTTGCTTTAGATCTATGGATTCGTACACACCTTTCTTTATCAAGAAGGGCTGGTGTCTTTTATTTATTTTTACTAGAGACGGGGTTTCACCATCTTGGCCAGGCTGGTCTTGAACTCCTGACCTCGTGATCCACCCGCCTTGGCCTCCCGAAGTGCTGGGATTACAGGCGTGAGCCACCACGCCCGGCTGTGCCTGCCTTTCAAACCCACTGTCCCGGCCAGGTTCAGTGGCTCAGGCCTGTAATCCCAACACTTCGGGAGGCCGAGGCGGGCAGACTGTCTGAACTTAGGAGTTCAAGACCAGCTCGGGCAATATGACGAAACTCCGTCTCTACTAAGAGTAGAAAAAATGAGCCGAGCACGGTGGTGCATGCCTATCGTCCCAGCTACTCAGGAGTCTGAAGCACGAGAGTGGCTTGGACCCGGGAAGTGGAGGTTACAGTGAACTGTGATCACACCACTGCACTCCAGCTTGGGTGACAGAGTGAGGCTCTGTTTCTAAATAAATACATAATTAACTAAAAATAAGACCACTGTCCCTACCCTGCCACAGTGTAGATCTCAAGCTGATACAGTTTTTTTCCTCTACGCTCCCATGACAATGATCAAACCCTGCCTGGGCACAGAGGCCCTGAGCCACTGTGCAGAGGGAGACGGTCGCAGAAAGAGGGATTCCAAACTCCTCCTGGTCTCAAAGCGGTTGCTGTTGCTCCAGCCTTCACCCTCTTCTAGGCGAGGTGACTGGCCGCTTCCAGGAGCCCAGAGGTGCCGTCCAAGCTGTTCGCCAACACCCGCTGGTGGTCCAACCCACCGAGAACACCCCGACTTGCTGCAGCACAGAGACCCCCCACCACGGAGAGCATGTCGGGGAGGATGTGTGGGAGAGGGCAACTTCATGGAGGCTTTGGGGGAGTGTGCAAGGCAACTCTGCTCAATGCTGTCAGGAATCGGGGTGACTCTGAGACCTGCTGTCTCAATATTTCTTATCTAAAGGTAAGAAAACAGAGCAAGGTGCAAGGTGTCATTGGTAAACAGTGACAGTCACATCCAGCAGGAGGGGGGTGCTGGTTGTCTGGGGGTTGTGGGCGCTGCTCCCACCTGTGTGCCGAGGGGGCCTGCTCTTGTCCTGGTCCTCAGCCACAGGGTGGCCTTGTCCATGGGGCCGTCAGGTCCAAAGAAGCTGGTCAGCACCCCCTGCTCTTTCTCGGTGCCGTGTAGCCAGGGTGAGGCAGGCGTGCAGCCTCGATGCCTTTCACCAGGCAGGTGCTGACCTTCCAGTTCTGCCGGAGGAAGGCTCCTTCCTGTCCGATTCTGCC